CGAAAAATCCACCACCCAGTGCTAAGGGCTAACTCTGAGACTCAATAGCCACGGCTCCCTCAGCAGCAGACAGGAAAACCAACACTCTCAAGAGCACTGCAGCAAGAACATAACTGTCTTGAATGTAACAGACACAAAACAGTGTCAAGAAATTCAGAGAGGACCAATTAAGGGCTGAAACACTCTAACCTCTGGGGAGTCCGAAAGGGGAAAGGTCAATGTAGCCATAAGCTCCAGAGGCATACCGACGCATCTAGCAGGCTGCTGGAAGAGGGATGATTTATAACGCTTGCAGCCCAGCTGCTCCACACCCCACATGTGCATTTCAAGGCCCTCAGAGGTAAAGGATCTGATATTAAGTAACAAGAACAGATCAGACCGAGGTCCAGTAGACTCTCTCATGTCTGTTGAAATTCAAGGCCTCAGGCTACCTGTTCCCTTCAGTAAGCTGCAGTAGCTCCAGCACTTGGAAGAATGAGGCATGAAAGCCCAAATTTACCAATAGATTTATATCCAAAGATATAAATAGAAGCCTGGCAGGATTTACAGATTAGGTGTCCAAATCACTGCATGCAGGAGAATGGGCTTCTCACTTTCTAACCACTCCATACCTCTCCAACCCCAGCCACCACAAGAAAACCCATTTCAGGCAGTATGGAAGCCCCTGCTGTTGTACACATTGCCGGGGGCCATCCCTGTGCAATCACTTCGATGGTGACGCCACCTGAACTCCACAAGTCTCAACAGTGAAACCTGCAATGGCTGCAGCTCTCACAGAATGTAGGTCTGCCTGTTTCCCAGAATAGGAGCTGCCTCTACAGCCTCTCCTCTCCCTTCCCCCACTATATCTTTACTTTTCGTGGATTCAATACTGTTTCAAGGTACCCTCATCCTGCCACCGGTGGGTGGGTGAGTGGGGGAAAGGGGCCCTTCATAATTGTAGTGTTGCAATCTGCCAGCCCGGCCAGGCAGCCTGTTCCCGCCTGCACTGCATTAAATACCTTATAACTGATTACACCCCCATGGGGCATGATTAGCAGTCTTCAGAGAACAAAGTCTACTTTCATAAGAATAAGAACAGACACGTACTGCTAACCTACTACACAGCTGGGCAGGTGAGGAAACAGGGAAGAAAGGAGAGCGTGTGGGGGGGAAGAGTTAACTGCACTAACTCTACTCCTTCCCTTCCCCGTCCTGGCTGAGTTGAGATTTCCATCGCTCTGAACAATAGTACCCCTCAGACCTACCCCACAAGGTTTAGGTAACAAAAGCTCATAAACAAACTGTTGCCTATGGAAGTCAGACATAAGTCCTAACCTGGAGAGGCAGGGCCTCGAGGCAAGCAGATTGAGCTTCGCTCTGGGTGACAGCAATTCCTTCACATCAGTTCCCAGGAAAAGGGAAGGCTGAATTCCAACTTCAGTATCAAAAACAATGAGAAGGAGGGAAAGCTCAAAATATGATCACATATCCACGCCCTCTCTAACCTCTGAATACATCTGAAAGGTCTACATAAGTAACAGCAAAACACCTAATTCAATCTGGAGGTTAACAGCTCTCCAAGTGATGATTTTTTTCTTGTGGGGAGAGAGGACATAGCAAAGAGGAGGAAAGCCCTCTCCATCTGAGATAGGTAATAGGGATCCCTAAACATAAGAGAGTCCATATGCATTGCCACAACAAAGAACCAGCTCAATGGAAACTCAGCCAATCTGACATGAAATGACCGACAGCTCATTAGCAAAGTGCCTTCCAAATCTAAAAATGCCCACACAAACAGCCACAAATATATTTGGCGCTATCTGGCCTCCATCTCAGCAGAGCAGAACGGCTGTATAGTCTGATTCTTTCTCCAAAAGCAGTAGGAAAAATGGTGGCAACTCTGAGACTAAAATAAGCCTAGGATCAGCCCTTCCGGCTACTCTCCCCAAACCTCCAACAGAAGAGAGCAAAGTGGAAAGCTCCAGGAAAATAGTCTTATTTGACAGTGAAGCCCATGCAGAAGCTTTAACAAAATAGTAAGAAGTCTCCTAATTGTGTCCTTTTGGAAACAATCACCTGCTTTATCCAGAGTCCACTGTTTTTGCCCATAGCCCTGTGGATGCTCATGGTACCATCTCGAAGCACTTACGTTCAGTATATGCATCCAGAGGGGACACCCTGCTGACACATTCCACCCAGATTCTTACCCAACCCACCCAAGAAAGGATTTGTTAATGAGTAACCAACACAGCTGAAAATGATCTACTTGTATCTGCTTTGCTCAACAGCTGGTCCTTCAGCCAGAACACAGGAGATTTCTGAACTCTACTGCCTAGTCCCATCTGTACAGCAAAACCTGCATATTCTCTTTGTTACAGGAAGACTTGAAGGTACCAATTGACTTTAAGCTCTGATGTATTTGCCATTGATATAAAGCAGCAATACATTTAGAGTTACATTATGAAACAGATTGTACTTTCAGGGTTTGGATAAATGGGAGCTTTCACCATGAACACAAGTTAGTCATTAGAAGCTCCGGGAGGTAATTTAAATTATCGCAGCCAGCACAAAAATAGTTTTACTTTGGGAGTTGAAGTCGCAAAGCTGTAATAAATCCAAGTGGCACAGTAAAACTTCTTATAAAAGCTTAAAATTAGTTGTGAAGCCCCAAATGGCCTTGCATATAATTTGATTCTGCTACCGTGGGCTAGCAAAAGGGAAATCACTCTTCATACTGTAAAAAAAACACCAAAAAATTCTATCACCCTTCAGCTCCTAGGAGACAGAAGAGGTAGGCTTACATTTCTGGCCCTCTCTCTCTATATATGTGTGTGTAAAATGCGTAGAAATAATAAATATATAAATAAAACATTAAACCCACAGAACTAACAATGACTTGTTCAATCCCACACAGTGCTGGGCAGCTATCAATCAGGCATCAGAGCTCCAACTGGAGCATTGCAATCCAACGCTCTCTCCTGGCTGCTGTACCTTCACAGATACTCTGCACCCACCCCCATTCCCAGAGTAAATTGCCTTCCACTGCTGAGAAGCACTCCTGCTATTCTGATACTGGTATTCACGACCAGAGCAAGAGACCCTAATTTAGCCCCACACGGGCCTTCTGCAAACTGCTAATCCCCACTCCACAGCTGCTTTTCAAATGTACGGGCATGAGCAAACCATAAACGATTTATGGCGCGTGGCAGGAAGACTCTTGGCTCCCTGTGTAGGCGGGGTTTTGGGACAAGATCATGCTTGGACTAATGTTTATATTGCAAGTTGTCAGTCAGGCAGTAAATCATCTCTGGAGCTGCACACTAATACAGCCCCATCCAGTTGGGGCCTTGACAACACTGAATTCTGTTACAGCCATTTCAGATATACCTGGGGACCAATTTGCAAAGGCATCATCTAATAATGGAAAAATGAATACACTTAAAAGTAGAATCTACCAAAATTCTGCAGCCCAGCAAGGGTGATTTGCTTTCAGGAATCAAACCAAACTGGTACGAGATGTTTGCCAAAAATGACTCTCCACATTAGTCCTAGAAGAAATTGGACTGAGTGCCTACACAAACATCTAATAACAGAGCTAGCTCTGGCAAAATGCAGTTACCTCAGAAAACCCTTCTGAGCAAAGTTTTCATTTCCCAGTAGTCACATAACTGTAGTGTAAGCAATGGTAAAATTCTAAAAGGGAGACAAAGATATTTTGCATACTTTAGCGCACAAGACACTTTCTGCTCAGAAAAATAAATGCACTTAAAGGCAGGATATAAGCTTGAAGTCCATTCTCAACAAAGGTTACTTAAAACAACCTAATTTTAAGTAAAAAATCCTGTCATTTTCCTTTTTTGTTCTTTTCCTACATTTGAAAATACTTTTCATACAGTACACTGTGTACAAGTCTCCCACAGATACAAGATAAGGGAGAAGAGTTCTCAATAATGAAAAAATTATAAATAAAATACTCCAGGGGAAAAAACCCAGAACAGTAGCATTAACTGCAATCACTATTCAGTTATGTGAGAGACACCAGATTTCAACTCATCTCCCTAGAATATTTTTAACCTTCCCATTGGGCAGCAGCAGAGTCATCACTAATGAACATTAAAGCTGAAGGAAGAAGTCTGATTTAGGAGACAGAGCAGCAAGGCATCTTTGAGAATTTGAGAATAGAACTTGTGAAGCAAGGTATATGCAGGTCTAAAATCATTAACTCTGAGTAGCATATACCAAAATAATGGTCAAAAACCTTACAGCCACAACAATTATCTAATTATTACCTTGGGAAAATAACATATTCTTTTGAAACAAATGCTATAAAGTAAAACTCGCCTAAGGTTTTTTATGAGCCTATGTGTAATTCCTCAATAGTTGCAGAGACAACCTTATCTGCCCCTTTTGATTTCAAACCCATTTGTGCATGAGTGTTACATTAACACAGCTGGACAACTGAGACTTTAAACACGAGAGTAAGAAAATCCGGTTCTGACTCCTAAGGCATTACCAAAGCCAGCTTTATCACAGAGCTAAAATACAAATACAGAACTCAACCAAAGACACAGAAGTCACTGTAGGACTTCCAGGTCTGAATTTGCTGTCCCTTAAGAAACCAAAAATTTAAACCAGTTCTCTCTTGCCACCAGAAGCTGGTCAGATACTCTCTGCCTAAAAATCAGTCTAAGCGTTGCAAGAAAACTTATTTTCCAATCTTGACCCATTTCACTTTAACAGCAACACAAAACTTCTACGAAAATCGGTAACTGTTTATTCTCAGCTGTTAGCCCTGCCACAAAAGGGTTAAGCTGTGCCTTAAAGCACATGTTGTTCCCAGAGAAGCCAATAGGGCCCATACAGGGATCTTGAGGCTTAAATATCCTGCTTCTGTCTCTGAAAATACACATACAGACTCTTTCCTTCAGTTTCCCTTGCATTTAGGCAAACATTAAAAATCTTCATGCCACTGCCACTTATGTTTATTAGCCTATGCATCAAATGGAATTTATACGTACTTGCAGCACTGATGATTCTCCTGATCCTCAACAGACTGGACATGAGCACAGGACACAAAATGTCTTCATAGACATTAGCACACTGAGACTCAGGCTGCAGTATGAGTCACTTCAACAGCCTTAATGCCCTGCCTTTCAGACACCTTACGGACTAAAGTCCACAAGAAGACTGCAACGTGGAGAGGCCAAACTCTACGCATTCTTTTCCCTCTTACAAGCGAAAGGAAGAAGCAGCAAGTGCTTTGCATGACTACTCAGCATGAAAAGACAATAGCTGCTTGTCTCCATGTTCATCAGTAAGATGGTCCTCCTCTACAAACCACACTATCTATCCACAGACCTTGCTCTTCATCAGCTTAAAATCCTCAACTACCAGGACTAATCAGAGCAGCTGCAGTGCTTTGTGGATTTGTTCTTTGGTTGGTGATTTGTTGGTTTTTTTTTTACCCTAATGCAGTTACCACAAAAAGCAAGGTCAGCGAGCAACCTAACATAGCACATAAGTGATTCAATACCTTGCCCCTGACACCAATACATTAAGGTGGTTTAGTAGCTGGAGCAAGAAGCCTTAGTGGACATTTATGGAACACACTACCCTTTCTTCAAACCTTTACCTGTTAAGAGATTGGATTAGGTCTGAAAAATACACCGTCTAAAACAAGTTCTTTAACTAAAGCAAGTCTGAACATTTCCACTCCTAAGTGCTTGATCTTTTCTGAATCCTGCTCAGTTCTTAGCCTCAGTGCTATTATGTGGTAGTGAATTTCCACAGATTAGACATCATGTGAAAATACTTTAAAATCATTATTCAGTTTGATGCCTATCAGTTTCACTGAATTGCATTCACCTCAACTGAAGAATACATTCCAGCTCCTTCACCCTTGCACAGCAGTCTTCCTCAGGCTTGGCACCCAGCATTGTTGAAAAGCAGAGAAAAACTGAGCCCACCCAAGTGATGCTTATAGTGCATTCCAACCATTGCAAAGCTATTCTCACACTCCTACATGGTTTTCCACGCTATTTCCTTCCGAAGAGCAGCTCCCAGGAGGACACTCCAGAGAGGCTGGCTCATGTCATTCCAAATACAAAACATCCTGCAAGCTGCTGCTTTTGGCCCTCTCTGGCTGAGCATATTTGGAATAAAACCATACATCCATGAATATCCTAACAATGAAGAGAATGGTTTCTGAGAATGGAACAAACAACGAAGCAAAAAAGAGAAAATTGTCCTTGAAGTAAAAAATATTCAGGCAATGTTAGATGTGAGCAAAACAAGCAAATAGTTCCTGGGAAGGCAAAAATGGTGAGGTCTCAGAATGCCCACTTGCCTTGAACAAGGCAGGGCCTGACTTGAACTCCATAACAATTTCACCATGCTACAGAATACACAGGACAATGGATCAGACAGGGGTCTGCTTCATTCTGAAATCACAGCTTGAAATACCCTTTCCATTTCTTTTCCACAGAGCTTTACTAAAGCATTAAACACCACAGTATCTAAGCATCTACACACCTATGGGTTCATCCTCAAATTCCTAGCAAGACCAGTGTTAATCTTATTTTCCAAGCAAAGAATGAAGAGTAAGAAACAGCGATGATCTGAACAAAATAAATCTGTGGCAGAAATTAGATATCTTTCTGACCATAGCATCGCCCTTCCTCTCCAACAAGCTGTAAAGGTATTTCAACTTAAAAAGTAACATTCTTCCTACTACAGACTCAGCCAATCTAGATCTAAGGAAAAGCCCTCAGGTAAGGGAACTGGCAGGGAAACAGGATGGATTATTTCATGACCTAAGGCATTCATCCAGTTTGTATAGGTTACACACATAGTTCCTTTGCAGTCCTGCGTAAAATGAATCTCAGAGAGGATCACATTTACCCAGTTACTAGTGATCTGAAATACACACAGCTGGCATGAATGCCAACAAGCACTCTCTCCAAAGCTTAGGGTGTCATACTGAAAGGAGATACCTTCCCAACCAAAAGCCCTCAAGCAAGGAGATTAATATACCCAGTTTCAGAACCTTAAATTTACTCTCAAAGCATTAATCAAGTCAAATGGTCAAGAAAATCTGCTCTATTATGACAAGCCCAGTAAAAAGAGCAAGATGAATCAAAAAGGTGTCAAGCCAGATCCTCATTTATTAGCAGAGGAATCCTATTGAGACCTCCACATGTTGCATTTCTCCCAGCAACACGGAAGGCACAGAGTTCTGCTGTCACTCTGGGCTGGAGAAGTGAGACCTGTGACAACAAATACACAACACAGAAAATTTGTCAGGACCTAACCTACAGAACTGCTTCTTGGCTCTACACTAGATGTGGTGATACATGGAAATTTCAGAATCCAGTTTTCAGCAGCTTCTCCATAAAATATGGCAGACATTTTAACAGGTTAGGGAGCTCACCTTCAGAAAAACCATCAGCCTCCAAGATTCACAGCCATGAAATCAACTACCAAAAAATACAGTTATATTTTATCAAAATTTGTTTACTTTGTACTGCTCAAATAGCTTGGCCTTCTTCACCTTTCTAAAAACACTTTATATGCCACACCAGCTGCCTTTCTCCAAGCCAGCTCTGGTACCATTCAGACCAGCATGCTGACCAAAAATCACTCGTCCCATCTGACTTGATTTGTTCTGCTCTGGGACAAGAAGCAGGCAGACTTGCAAAAGACTACACCTTTTTCAAAGCTTTAGCCTATCTCCCTGACAAGCTACACCATGATTGTATTTAGAGTGGATGGCAGAGATAAGAATTGAGGGTTTGTTGGCTGCAAAGCAAGTGACTTAGCAGCAACCAACAAACAACTTGAAACAGAGTGGAAAAGCATGCAAGGTCATCTTTAGTTCAGAAAGCTGGTTTGGAGAGCGAAGAGGCAACAGGTCTTGGCAAGTAACTCATCCCCTCCTGACCCAATGCCTTGTTAATATTAAAGATGAAGATAACCATGGGCTGCACTTTGGAACACTGGCCCTGCTGAAATGCATTTGCAGGATTTCAAGAACACTGTGTGCCTGGGAAGGAATGAAAAACTCCTCTTGATACCACAGCCAAGACTTGGTAGCTTAAATACTAACATCCATGCTTAATTTAACATCCAGAAGCTAAATCACGCTGTATGCAAAGCACTGCTGGGATACAAATGCTTTCTGCAGTGATCTACTAGGAAGTGAAGAAGTGAGAAAGGAGTTGTTATAAAGGTGATCTGACAGTGTACAATCAAAAAAACAGCTGCTGGGTACCAAATAACTGCTCCTCTAAACTGGATCTCAACAGCGAGTTCAGGTACACCTGCACCACCCATCACAGGAACAGTTAAAATTTTTGTGGAAAAATAATGTGACAGAACAGAGGGTCACTAGAACCACCTAACTTTGACATTGCCATTATTGCAAGAGCAGGACTGCAAGAAAGGATTTCGTTTGGATTATGGCTGGGCAGATCCCTTGTGAATTATACAGACAGCATGGCTACTTTGGCACTGATAGAGCACATTTAAGAACTGCTTTCCCAGACGGCATGTCAAGAGCACTGGCTTACATCTTTAATTGAACTTTTCTTTCCAGAACCTCTTGCTGAATTTTTCAGGGTCACTCCCATTTCACTGACATCCCTGGCCTCTCAATTCTGGCAACACAGGCCTACTATGATGAAGAGAACACCACAGAGAGGTGCAGTGTTTCAAGTATGTGGTTCACATGTTCTCAAAAAATTCAAGTAGTGGTACAGAAAGAACACAGTCTGACTCAGCATTATCTCCTTCCTGGCTTTCTTACCTGCTAAGTCTGATGCTTCAGTAAGGATTCATTGCTTCATCTTATACAGACCCTTTATCCTGGTTCCTTCTCTGAATCTGTAAAACAGAAATGCACAGCTCTGAAAAGCTTTCACTGGCACAGAACTATCTACATGTGATGGATGATACTTTCCAGTGGATAAGATTCACCTGGCATCTCTCAGATCTAGGTAATTCTCAGCCTTGCCAGATTTGTGTATCATTTGCACACCCTGATGCCTACCAATGCAACATCATGCACACCTAAGAATCCGTATTAGCCCTCAATCTTTTACTCCACTCTACGCAGAGTGGTCAAGTTCTGAGCCAGGAGCCGTACAATGTTTACTGTTCACCTGTTTTCCTTTAAAATCTCCCCATGTTCCCAGAGGCTGCACATTAGTTCTATAGGAGGAAGCATCCCTTGCACTAGAGAGGATGTCCAACCGGGCAGAGAATTTCCCATTAACCCCTACCGACACGGGAGGAATGCTGATTCTTCCCTTCCAACCTGCCTCTGCCAGTTACACTCCGGTTCTTTAACACACGTGCTGGTCCAGACCTGCTCTGTTTTGCAGCCCCTACTCCAGCAACATTCCCTGCAGATACACTGCCTTCTCATCCCCCACATCACCTAACTCTCCATCACACCACCTAACTCTCCATCACTCAGAAACGGCTACACTCTGCGTGGACCAGGTTCTGCCTGCCGATCCCGTGCCTGCGCTGCTCTCTGACACGGGTCTCTCCCGGGGAGAGAGAGCTCTGTAACGCCCTGACGGCTGAGACAGTGGCATCACCACTCTTCCCCACGGAGACTGTCCCTTCCCTGGGGTCAGGGCTGCGGCCTCGCCGCCCTCCCGTACTCGGCCCCCGCCCCACCTGGCTGGCGCCCCCCCCCCCGCCCACGGTGCGACCCCCGCCCGGACCCGCTGTCCTCGGGGAACTCTACAATTCCTCGCCACACACGTGGACAGAAAAGCCCACCCCGCTCGCTGGGCGCCGCCCGAAGCCCGCAGATGCCCAGGGGCGTAGGGGCCCCCGCCCGGGGTTTCGTCCCCCGCCGGTCGCGTTCCCCGCTCCCCGCCCCCGGAGTCCCAGCCCGGCTCTGACCCGGTCGGGCTCGGCTCCACCAGGGGTCCCAGTAACTTTGCGGCCGGTTCGGCCCCGCCTCGGGCCCGCCCCAAACTTTGCCCCCGCCCGGCCCCGGCCCCGCGCTCTCGCCTTAGGCCGCCATTTTGCCGCGGGGCACGCCGGGTAATCCGGCGGAATCCCCACGTCGCGGCGTGCCTGCGTCATCGGACGGCACGCGCAGGGGGGCGGGGCAGGGCGGTCCCGACAGCGCGAGGGGCGGTGGGACGGGGATTGCCGCCGGCAGTGCCCGGGGCCGGGAGCCGCTCCCGGCCCTTCCCGCCTGCCCCGGGACCTGGGAGCACCCTGAGGGGCGGCGGAACGGGAAGGGCCGGGATCCGCTCCTGCCCCTTCCTACGCATCCGTTGTTCGGACAAACGACCCAACAGACTGGGACTTATCCCAGCCTGTCACTAGCGAAATACAAACCCAACCGTGGGACTAGGTGGAGAGGGAGGGAGAAAGGGAGAGCAGTAAATGGAGAAACCCACCTGAAACCCCCCCAAGGACAACTGTCTGCCTTTTAAAGGAGAGGTGCTGAGGACAGCATGTGCCAGGCAAAAGCTAGGCAAACCCTGACACAATTTATCAATGTGCTTTGGTACTCATTTGCAAAATCTTCCACTGTGTTGTTCTAGTCTTGGGTCTTTGAAAAATCAATACATTTAAATTTCTAACCAAATCACCCCGTTTATGTAACTCGAGCTCAGACAGGTACTTTTTCCGTTGCTTCTCTTGCCCAGTGCATAGACTTACTCACCCACTGCTTCCATTTCCTGTTATCCTTTCTTTCACAAACATCTCATTAATCAATAATTCACACAGTAAATAACGGAGCCTAGTTCTGAGGAAATTTGCCTGGTTCAGAAAAGTCCTGGCAGAACTTACACAATGTTCTTCAGTGTACTACTACATTTACAAAGCCTTCAGATTTACATTCAGGTAGTAACAGGCTCATAGTACTGCAAACTCTGCCCAAATGGTCCCCTCTCTTACACAATAAATGACAGGTGCTCAGCAGGACCTCGCTTCCATGACCTTGGGAATATTGTGCAAAAACGTCTGCTGAGTGCCCAGCAAGTGCCGTCTGTACCATACCACGCGTCAGCCAGGGATATTTCAAGAAAGCCTTTGGTACTTGTGCCCCCATAAATTCTCCAAATCCTCCCTGTGCCGGAGTCAGATAACAAGCAGAAGGACAATGGCTCCAAGAATCCAGGCTGCCCATCTGCTCTGTACTTCCAGATTCTTGCTTCCAGAGCACCAGCTGATGAAATTTTCATAGCTGATGAGGTTTCTCATTTCCACTGGGCCTTGCTGCCTTGGAGCCTTCACAGCTGTGGTCTGTTCAGGTTTCCGTGGGTGAGCACTGATGGCAGCAATGATTAGAGTACTTTGCTTTCTTTTAGTGACTTGTAAAAGTAGGACCTTCAAGCTTTTTCCAAGTCTAGGTGAAATAAGTCCTGTAAGAAGGAGAGAGGCTGATTTTCAGATGGTCTCGTCATTTACTGCTTCCATTAAACTCAACTCTCCTCAAAATCAGATCTCAAGGTCAGACTTCCAAAGGGAGACAGGAACTCGACTTGGGCTGGCTGAGCACCAGTCACCTGCTCCGAGCACCACAAAACACTTCCCTCAGATCCCCAAGGCCTTGATTCCCAATCCTTCTTCCTCTCCACATACATCCGCCCTGCCTTCCCCCATATCCGGTATGCTTGTGAGCCAGACTCATTATTGCCCTGAGCCCAGAGATGTGACATGATGCAGAAGCATGACGTTAGGTTACATTATATTCATTTATATAACACCATTAATACCAAAGAGCAGCTCCCTGCTAGAGCCAGTTGCTCGCTAAAGCCTCTGAAGTTCAATTAACAAGCACCAGGTAATCTAACACTTGACTCCCAATAATCCTTTTATTTTAAGGGGCCTCTGGCGGATGTAAAGCCCTCAGCAAACAGTCCTGGAAGTACATTTGAGATTCCCTCAAATACCAGATGAATTTATGACCCTTAGTGAAGAGCAGGGAGGAATCTATTCAAAATACTTTCCAGCTGGCAGCACTTTATATAGACCCTTGTAACGGAATAAAAGGAACCCCTGGAGGGGCAGGTGCCACCCTGTGGAGGGACAAATCCCTCTGAAGTGCCTATGGTCCTGGCTAGTGAAAAAGGAGATGACAGAAATAATGTCTCCCCACCAGAAGAAGGCAGTGCAGGCTTGGTCCTCTCAAGTTTTCCATCAAACCTGGTCAAGTGGGGAAGATGGCAGGTGCTGGACAATCCCTTAGTGGCTGACTTGGAGGCTGTCACCTGCCTAGAAGTGTCAGTGGTGAAGGGACTCCTGTGAAACACTTGTCTTCTTGGCTACTTCTCTAACTCCAGTTGCACAGAGGATTCCCCAGCAGACATCAGCTGGGAAACCCTCAGAGGCAAAGGATGTTTCATGAATAGGCTGAGCCCACCAAAACCAAAAGACCTGAGACTTAGTTTGAGCAGAGCTTTAACTCTGGGATATGCCAATACAAGAGGAGCTCAGCACCCAAAACTAACAGCATTTCAGGAACAATAAGATCAGCGAAATACTGCCAGCCTGTGACAGTCAAACAAGTCTGTGGATGCCGAATTGGACAGCCAAACACATTCTGCCAGTATGCCTGGAGCATACACCTACCAGACAAATACAGCCAACCCGCCAATAAAACAGTTGCTAAAAACATACCCACGTGTATAGTTCAGGCCATCCCACCACGTAAGAGTGACGGCTGGGACTCAATTTTAAGTTTAATAGAGACTCAACACTCAAAAAAACACTGGAGTCTTCTCACAAGCAAACACATTCCCCAGCATTGGTGGCTGAAGAACAGAACAGTGCTGACCCAACCCAAAATGCTGTTTATCTTATGGGACTGCTCAAAGGCACCCATGATGGTTGGGATGTAGTTGTACTGGGCACTGCACAGAAAGACAAGCAGACACAATATCCTGCTCTCGAGGCTTGAATCTCTGAATCTCTTGAATCTCTCTCAAAGCACCTCTGGCAATATGAAACGGAAGATGAAGGCAGAACTAGGGAACAATGACAAAAATCCATCATTGCAGCACCCCAGTGCTTGGCACAGCTCAGTGGTTTTATGCCACCATGGGTTTTGAGGAGAGCATGACGTACAGCTCACACTGGTATTTCAGACATACATGGGGCACTTTCCCCCTACCTGTATGCTTGAAGAATACACTGCATATCAATGCTTGCCCATTACAATTGCTGCCTGTGCAAGTCTTCTATATATTTATAAATCTGTGTGTATAAAAATAGAATAAAATAAATATATATCAGTGACCCCTACTGGCCATTTCTAACTAGCCATGAAATTGTGCAACAACAGCAAGCTCTTGCCTCGGCTCTTGCCTCGGTGCAGTATTTTGAAGTGAGGCACAGAGCACAGAGCCTGGCAGTGGTGTATTTGTGCTCTTTGGACTCACTTTGTGCTGGCTGCATCACTCCTGGGGGCAGGCAGCTGAAATTGGGGTTTTCTGACCTCAAGTATTTGTTTGTGGCATCCCACTCATTTCTCTGCTCACCACCAGTTCCATGCCACAATCCCAGCTCTTGCACTGAGCCCTGTACAGGTGCCTCCAACTCTTATCTGCACAGTTGCAGGTCTCTACAAGGGACCAGGTATTGGGTTGTGACCTTATACAGGGTATTTTTTCCAGAAAAATTCAGTTCCCAACTGGGACCCACATCATAGATACCACTGCTCCTCGAGGTCAGCTCCCTACAGAAGGAACTGCCCCAGCACTGCACAGTTTCTCCTCCTGGCAGCCTCACCTTAACCCCACCAAAGCTCACTGTAAGTTCTTCACCTCACTGGGTGCTAAATCCAGCATGAGTGCTGCTGGGCAGCAGAGACTGAAAGGACCTCCTGGTCCAGTGATTTACCTTGGTGAAGAAGTGGAAAGAATGTGCCTGACAGGCAGGATGGCTGCTCCAATGCAAGGCAAAACCCCATAGGAAGCAAAGGCTGGAGTCACTGTGTCAGCCTCGAACCAAGACTCAAGGAGCTCTGCCTCCTTTCCCCTTCGTCAAAACTTGTTTAGCTCGTCATGCTAATAAAGTGTTTGAAAGGAACTGAGCTAAAAGTATGTGGAGAGGAATGGGGAGGACGTCTCACTGGAGCATATGGGGAGGTGGCAGAGGGTTAGGTGTAACACCATCTCTCCTTGCTGTGTGCAGGCAGACAGGGCTTCATCTGGGTTTGGGCATAGTGCTTGCTGCGTGCAAGGGGAGAACACCACACCCTGGGGTGCAGGGGTTGGCACTTCACCACGGTACACACATGGGGAGGGAGTAGCTGATCCCCCAAGCGCTCTGAGGCAGAGCAGGGACTCATGGACTCTGTCATGTAGACACACATGGCTGTGTGTTGTCTCTCAAGGAGCCCTTCTGCGTGCCTAGCATGTGCCTCCAACGCACAGAGACTTT